TAGGAGCTGGGATATCCGTAAGGGCTTCGCCCCCAGCCGCCGGACCCCTCTCTCGGAGAATGGGCCATGGAAGAGCGAAGTCATGAGGCTTTGGCTTTGCCGTGAAGCAGTGTCGGGACTCATTTCCCGGAAAGGGCTTAGGCCCAGGGTTCTCTTTTAGATGGTTTACCCCCCGTTTTTTTTTGAAGGGGTCGGCGGAATTCTTGTGCGATAAATTACGAAGTCGAAGGGGGCCGGCGGATTTCAATTGTGAGGACGAAGGCCATTTTTCGCCACCCCTCACGCAGATCGTGCTCTTGGAATTTTACTGCCTTTAAGGGAACCTCGATATTTCACAGGTGAAGTCCACTTTTTCCGACATCGATTTTAAACGATGAAAAACAAGGTAAACGCGTTCGCTCGATAAATAACGAGGTACCGCGGCCTCCGGAACGGCGCTGGGAACGGAGTTTTGGATTCTTGAAGTTGCATAAGTTCGGAAATAGCAGAAATCCCCTGTGTTTTTTTTACCCTGACCCCGCCGATCTGCGTGAGGTGTGGCACGGAATACCAGAAATGTAGCAAATCCCATGTGTTTTTGGACCCTGACCCCGCCGATCTGCGTGAGGGGTGGCGCGGAATTCCAGAAATGTGGCAAATCCCATGTGTTTTTGGACCCTGACCCCGCCGATCTGCGTGAGGGGTGGCACGGAATTCTAGAAATGTGGCAAATCCCATGTGTTTTCGGATCCTGACCCCGCCGACCTGCGTGAGGGGTGGCGCCGAATTTCCGGAATGTGGCAAGTCCCACGTGTTTTCGAACCTTGACTTCGCCCAGGAGGGCCGAGGAGGCTCCAGGAGAGCCCAGGAGAGCCCAGGAGGGCCCAGGAGAGCCCAGGAGGGCCCAGGAGGACTCAGGAGGCTCCAAGAGGCACCAGGGGGCCCAAAGAGGGCCCAGGAGAAGCTCCAGGAGGCTCCAGGAGAGCCCAGGAGGGCCCAAGAGGTCTAAGGAAGACCCAGGAGGGCCCAGGAGCCCTTACGAGGGATCGTGGCCCTGGGAGCGCTGACGTAGCGTAATTTACGAGGGATCGTGGCCCTGGGAGCGCGGGTGTAGTGTAATATTTGAGGATGTCTCGAGCGAAACGCTTGTTTTTCCCGGACAGGGCGCGGGCCCAGGGTTCTCTTTTAGTAGGTTAACCCCCCGGCCCCCCTGCGACTTGGGCCGGCAAAAAATTATTCTGCGATCAATTACGTGCGGGAGTAGGGCCGGCGGAATTATTTTTGAGGATGTCTCGAGCGAAACGCTTGTTTTTCAGAATGTGTTGAGGATGTCTCGAGCGAAATGCTGGTTTTGCAGAGTTGGGGATGTCTCGAGCGAAACGCTTGGTTTCAGAATTTGTTGAGGATGTCTCGAGCGAAACGCTGGTTTTGCAGAGCCGACCGCGACACGGAAAAGCGCCCCTCGCGCAGGAATTCTGAGGATGTCTCGCGCGTGCCGCGTCCCGCGCGCAGGTATTTAGATTTCTTGGGATTCTGATCAGGAATTCTCGAGCGAAACGCTTGTTTTTCATAATTTGTTGAGGATGTCTCGAGCGAAACGCTGGTTTTGCAGAGTTGGGGGATGTCTCGAGCGAAACGCTTGCTTTTCAGAATTTGTTGAGGATGTCTCGAGCGAAACGCTGGTTTTGCAGAGTTGGGGTATCTAACATGGCGTCGGGCCCAACGCAGAATTATGAGGAAAAGTGATGGCTTCTTGCTCTGAACAGGGGGGTGCGCTTTGGGGTCCCCGTGGCACGTCCCCTGGCACGTCGCCTGGCGCGTCCCTTGGAACGTTCCGCGGCGCGTCTTCCTGGCATAATTCCTTGTCAATTAGCTCTGCGGCAGCTACTTCGTGGACTATGTGCTCAGGCAGCTCGAGCTTAAGATCCAGATCAGTTCGGTCAGGACTCGGATGCAACGGAGGACTTGATCCACAACGCTGTAGAGCACAATCGCGGCATGGCACATCGCAGTTCAGCACGGCGCAGCACAGCACAGCCCTCGGCACATTACATCAAGATCGGTACACTCACTCAGCATTGCAACTTGGCACGTTCTTTGGCACGTTCCGTGGCGCGTCCTGTGGCGAGTCCCCCTGGCACGTCGCGCGGCGCGTCCCCTGGCACGTCCCGTGGCACGTCCATAATGCATTGGCACGTTCCGTAGCGCGTCCCCTTGGCACGTCCCGCGGTGCGTCCCCATGGCACGTCCCCTGGCACGTCGCCTGGCGCGTCCCTTGGAACTTTCGGCGGCGCGTCTTCCTAGCATGCCCCCCGTGAATTAGCTCTGGGGCAGCTACTATGTGCTCAGGCAGCTCGAGCTTAAGATCCAGATCAGTTCGGTTAGGACTCGGATGCAAAGGAGGACTCGATCCACAACGCTATAGAGCACAATCGTCACGTGGCACATCGCAGTTCAGCACGGCGCAGCACAGCACAGCCCGCGGCACGGTACATCAAGATCGATACACTCACTCAGCATTGCAACTTGGCACGTTCTTTGGCACGTTCCGTGGCGCGTCCTGTGGCGAGTCCCCCTGGCACGTCGCGCGGCGCGTCCCCTGGCACGTCCCGTGGCACGTCCATTGGCACGTTCCGTAGCGCGTCCCCTTGGCACGTCCCGCGGTGCGTCCCCGTGGCACGTCCCCTGACACCTCGCTTGGTGCGTCTCTTGGCACGTCCCGTGGCACGTCCATTGGCACATTCCGTAGCGCGTCCCCTTGGCACGTCCCGCGGTGCGACGCCATGGCACGTCCCCTGGCACGTCGCCTGGCGCGTCCTTTGGGACTTTCTGCGGCGCGTCCTCCTGGCATGTTCCCTTGTCAATCAACTCTGGGGCAGCTACTAGTTATGTGCTTAGGCAGCTCGAGCTTAAGATCCAGATCAGTTCGGTCAGGACTCGGATGCAAATGAGGACTCGATCCACAACGCTATAGAGCAAACTCGTGGCATGGTTTATCGCAATTCAGCACGGCACAGCACAGCACAGCCCTCGGCACGGTACATCAAGGTCGATACACTGAGCATTGCAGTTGCCCGTCGCCCAATCAGGTGTCTTTGAAACGTTGCCATGTCTTACATTTCTATATTCCTTTCCGGGTTCGTGGGTCGATCATGTTCAGAATTTGTTGAGGATGTCTCGAGCGAAACGCTGGTTTTGCAGAGTTGGGGATGTCTCGAGCGAAACGCTTGGTTTTAGAATTTGTTGAGGATGTCTCGAGCGAAACGCTGGTTTTGCAGAGCCGACCGCGACACGGAAAAGCGCTCCTCGCGCAAGAATTCCGAGGATGTCTCGCGCGTGCCGCGTCCCGCGCGCAGGATTTTTGATTTCTTGTGGTTTTGACAGGATTTCTCGAGCGAAACGCTTGTTTTTCATAATTTGTTGAGGATGTCTCGAGCGAAACGCTGGTTTTGCAAAATTGGGGGATGTCTCGAGCGGGGGCCTCGTGGGGGGCCAGAATTCAGAGGATGTCTCAGGCGAAATGCTTGTTTTCGTGTCCCGCTCGCAGGAATTCCGAGGATGTCTCGCGCGTGCCGCGTCCCGCGCGTAGGAATTCTGATGATTTTGATAGGATGCCTCGAGCGAAACGCTTGTCCCCAGCACGTTCAGTAGCGCGTCCCCTTGGCACGTCCCGCGGTGCGACCCCATGGCACGTCCCCTGGCACGTCGCCTGGCGCATCCCTTGGGACGTTTCGCGGCGCGTCCTCCTGGCATGTTCCCCTTGTCAATTAGCTCTGGGGCAGCTACTATGTGTTCAGGCAGCTCGAGCTTAAGATCCAGATCAGTTCGGTCAGGACTCGGATGCAAAGGAGGACTCGATCCACGACGCTATAGAGCACAATCGCGGCATGGCACATCGCAATTCAGCACGGCGCAGCACAGCACAGCCCTCGGCAGGGTACATCAAGATCGATACACTCAGCATTGCAACTTGGCACGTTCCGTGGGGCGTCCCTTGGCGAGTCCCCCTGGCACGTCGCGTGGCGCGTCCCCTGGCACATTCCGTGGCACATCCATTGGCACGTTCCGTAGCGCGTCCCTTTGGCACGTCCTACGGTGCGACCCCATGGCGCGTCCCCTGGCACGTCGCCTGGCGCATCCCTTGGGACGTTTCGCGGCGCGTCCTCCTGGCATGTTCCCCTGTCCATTAGCTCTGGGGCAGCTACTATGTGTTCAGGCAGCTCGAGCTTAAGATCCAGATCAGTTCGGTCAGGACTCGGATGCAAAGGAGGACTCGATCCACGACGCTATAGAGCACAACCGCGGCATGGCACATCGCAATTCAGCACGGCGCAGCACAGCACAGCCCTCGGCAGGGTACATCAAGATCGATACACTCAGCATTCCATTTGCACGTCACCCAATCAGGTGTCTTTGAAAACGCTGCCATGTGTTACAGTTCTACATTCCTTTCCGGGTTCGTTGGTCGATCATGTGTTATGGCGGATTACAGTAGGATTTGTTTAATGGAAGATTGGAATTGGATTCTTTTTTCAGAATGTGTTGAGGGTGTCTCGAGCGAAACGCTATAGATGGTCCTCTCCTGGGGACCAGAATTCAGAGGATCTCTCAAGTGAAATGCTTATTATCACGTGCCTTGGTCTTGAGGATGTCTCGAGCGAGACGCTTGGTTTCACGGTTGCTCAGGCAGAGGTCTAGCGCCATGATTTGTTGAGGATGTCTCGAGCGAGACGCTTGGTTTCACGCGTCCTCGTCACCCAGGCGGATGTCTAGCAGGAGAATGTGTTGAGGAAGTTTCGATCGAGATGCTTGTTTGCACGTGTCCAGGTTGCCCAGGCGGATGCCCAGCATGAGGATGTGTTGAGAATGTCTCGAGAGGTACGCTTGTTTTCACGTGTCAAGGTCGCCCAGGCGGATGTCTAACATGAAGATGTGTTGAGGATGTATCGAGCGAGACGTTTGCTTTCACGTGTACAGGTCGCCCAGGCGGATGTCTAGAATGAGGAGGTATTGAAAACGTCTCGAGCGAAACGCTTGTTTTCACGTGCCCAGGTCACCCAGGCGGACGTCTCACATGCAGATGTATTGAACCACTTGTTTTCACGTGTCCAGTTCGCCCAGGCGGATGTCTAGCATGAGAATGTGTTGAGGATGTGTTGAGCGAAACGCTTGTTTTCATGTCAGGCGGATGTCTAGCATGAGAATCTTGGCGGGATGTCTCGAGCGAAACGCTTGTCCCAAGCGCGTTCCGTAGCGCGTCCCCTTGGCACGTCCCGCGGTACGTCCCCATGGCACGTCCCTTGGCACGTCCCTTGGCGCGTCCCTTGGGACGTTTCGCGGCGCGTCCTCCTGGCATGTCCCCCTGTCAATTGGCTCTGGGGCAGCTACTATGTGCTCAGGCAGCTCGAGCTTAAGATCCAGATCGGTTCGGTCAGGACTCGGATGCAAAGGAGGACTCGATCCACGACGCTATAGAGCACAGTCGCGCCATGGCACATCGCAATTCAGAACGGCGCAGCACAGCACAGCCCTCGGCAGGGTACAGCAAGATCGATACACTCAGCATTACATTCGCCCGTCGCCCAATCAGGTGTCTTTGAAAACGCTGCCATGCGTTGCTTGGCTATATTATTTTCCAGGTTCGTGGGTCGACCATGTTGGAAGCGCTTATGTGGCCGAACGTTGAGGCCAGACCTGCCAAGCTATCGGACCATGTGTTCCCCGAATCGGTTTGGAAAGCCTTCGGGGAACACGTGGGCATCCTGAAGGTCATCTTGGTCGCCTGGAGGCCATTTTGACCCTTTCGGGCCTTCTTGGAGGACGTCTTGGAGTGCTCTTGGGCCGCCTTGGAGGCCATCTTGAGCGTCTTGGAGGCCTCTTGGGCCGTCTTGGGGGCCTCTTGGGGCCGTCTTGGGCCTCTTGGGGTGATCTTTGGGGGCACTTGGGCCGTCTCGGGCTGCCGGAAGGCCGAAAAAAAACAAATGCCACAATCCTTCAACAACTCATTGGAAATCGATTAGTTTTGCCTTTTCGGGTCTTCTGGAGGCTCTCTTGGAGGCCTCTTGGGCCATCTTGGGCCATCTTAGTGTCATCTTCGGCCGTCTTGGTGGGCTCCTGGCCCGTCCGACGCAGTCGGAAGCCGTTTGGGGGGCCTCTCTGAGGCGACTTGGGGCCCTCTTGGAATGCTCAAGGGCCGTCTTGGAGGCCATTTTGGGCGCCTTAAAAGCCTCCTGGGCCGTCTTGGGGGCCCCTTGGGGCAGTCTTGGGGGCCTCTTGGGCTGTTCTGGGGCTATCTTGGAGGCCTCTTGGGCGATCTTTGGGGGCTCTTGGGTCGTCTCGGGCCGTCGGAAGGCCGAAACGAAGCACATGTCAAAATCCTTCAAACCTAGGGCAATTCAGTGTTTTTGGCCTTTTCTGGCCTTCCTGGAGGCCCTCTTGGAGGCCTCTTAGGCCGTCTTGGGCCAGCTTCGAGCCAGCTTCGACGCCGTCGGAAGCCGTTTGGGGGGCCTGTCTGGGCAAACTTGGGGCCCTCTTGGGGTGCTCCAGGGCCGTCTTAGAGGCCATCTTGGGCGTCTTGGAGGCTTCTTGGGTCGTCTTCTTCGTGTTTGTCTTCCATGCCTACCAGCCGCAAGCCAGGGAATTGTACTTCCTTGGGTTCGCCCGTTTCCCTTTGCCGCCCCAGTTCGGTTTCAGCGAGCTCGAACTTCCTCAGTCGCAGCAGGGGTATACTTCGATATCGTAAGTTCTTAGTGTCTGCTGATGCATGGGCCCCTCGTTGGCATGCTCATGTCTGGCGCAAAGCTCGCAGTCAGCCCCGCTCGGTTACAGAGTCCTCCAGATGATGGTCTCCGTACTCCTCCTCCTGCCTCCTCGCTTCTCTCCTGGCCGCTGGCGCAGCAGCTCCTCGCCCAGCCATCCCTCTTCTGTGGAGTCAGCGCTCCAGTACTCCAGGCGGGATGGAAGGCGCGTGGTGTTACAGGGCTTCCCAGCACCATGACGCTCGGCCCGCAGTGCGCTCAATAGCAGAAACCCATGTTCTCGAGAGCGCAGAATGTCTGCACACCGCGAAGAGCAGGTCTGTACATAAGCTCAGTGCTCTTCCCTCTTGCCACCGATCCAGCGCCGCTGGGCCGCTCCACGCTGCCACGTTTGGCAGCGCCCTGCCGCCTCGGCGGCGACGGGCCGCCTCGCCGCCGGGCCGCGTCGCGGCAGACCTTGTGTGGTCGACGGCGGAGCCGTGGCCTTTCTCGTGTCTGCCGCGGCGCGGCGGCGTCCGGGGCCTCGGGCACGGCGGCGTCAGTGTCTCAGCATGTCTCCGGGCGCTTGGGCGAGGAGACGCCAGCTGAAATGGAGCTCGGGCGCGGCGTGCCTGCAAAGAGGCCCCAAAACTGGGTTAATTCAGGAAGGGGAGGGGAGTTAATTCTTGACGTCGGCTGCGGTGACTCGTGCGGCCAGCGCACGTCGCCGGGGTACGGCACGGGCAACGTGGCAGGTGTGGTTCTGCGACTGAGCGACGCCTAATCCGGCTCACATTGCAACGCCAGAGCCGACGTCGGAGCCGACTGCGACGCCTGACCGGGCTTTGACTGCGACGCTGCGCCGACGACGGAGCCGACGGCGACGCCCTACCCGACCCCGACATGCACCCCAGGCTGTGTGTCGTAGGGGCTCGTGTGCGGTGACGACGGCTGCGGTGGCTCGTGCGGCCAGTGCTCGGTGCCAAATCCCCCGACGTCTGCGTCCCGAGCTTCTCCTGGCCTCCCGCCCCCCGGTGCTGGGCGACACGCTGCCCGTTCGTCCCCCTTTGCGTGTCGCCGAGGCCGCCGCCTCGGCTCGCGTTGCAGCATTCTCTGGGCGTGGTTTCTTTGATTGTCTGGGGCGAGTGTGCAACAACCAGGAGTGCAGAGGCCTGCGGAGTGGAGATCCAGGGCACTAACGAAGTGACAGCACTGTCCTCCGCCAGTGGACTGGCGTGTTGTCCTCCCCCCCCGCGGTCACTGAAAACCCTCCACAGGGAGCGGTGGAGGGATCACAGAGGTGACTCCGACCACACAGCATCGACAGTGGTGTTGCCTCTTCCTTCTCCTCCTCCAATTCACTGGATTGTGCGCCTCTCGGCTGCGTCTCCCCTCCTTTTCCTCCTTTAATTCCCCCCCACCCAACCAGATCCACCAGAGCATTCGGACATCCATGGGCACCTGGAGGCTCATTGGCAGGGCTCCGAAGTGCACACTGGCAGCAGCGGCTGCCAAGGAAGGATCTGGACAGCCTGGGTCAGAGGCAGTCTGTCCCCGCAGGCACGGGCTCCTCCAGCCCCTGGAACGGGCGTGGATCGCCCGCGTGGACTAGGTTTGGTTCGCGGCGCTCCAGGTGCTGGGCTACGGCAAAGAGCAGACCTGCACGCCTCCCCGCTCCGGCACCACCTGAGGCCAGACCTGGGGTGAGCGTTGTCCTGGCAAGTGGTTCATCCTTTGGCAGGTCACCGCGGTTCCCCCGGCAGGTCCGCCCCTGTTACCTCGGTTGACGCCCGCGACTTTGTGCCCCCGTCCCCTGTGACGGATAAGTTGCCCGCGTCGTACGCCGACGACGTCGACGACTCGCTTCCCACGGCGGGCGTCGCTTTCGAGTTCTTGCTATTGCACGAGTGGTGTATCCTTTGGCAGTTCATCTCGGCCCTCCCGCAGGGTGGTCCGGGGTACTCGACCAGTGCTTGCAGCTGTATCCCCCCGACTTTCAGAGTCAGGCAAGTTGCAGGTCGTGGACTCAGAAGACAGGGCCGCCGTTTCCTTGAATAGGTCGGTCGCTCATGCCCAAGTATGAGCCCCTGTGAGTGAGGCCTCCTTCTGTTCCCCCCCTCTCCTGTCCCCGCGTGCCCTCGCGCCCGCAGTGCCTTTCCCGTTCCTTCGCCTCTCGTCGCGACGGACGGTGCGGCCACCCTGGCCCCTCCGTTCCGCCACAGCGCGGCGTGATCCACGCCCTTGCGCGCTGTTCGGTACGGTCAGAGCTGGCGCCACTTGTGCGACTTCTCTTCCGTGAGTTTCCTTTTTCCCGGAAAGGGCGCCGGCCCAGGATTCTCTTTTAGCTGGTTTACCCCCCGCTTTTGACTTGAAGGGGGCCGGCGAAATTACTTTGCGTAAATAACTAGGTAAAGTGCTGATTTTCAGTCGAAAAAGTGCGTTTCGTGCGTGCCCGCTCGAGGAAAGTGCGCCCCCCATTTCGGATCTTCGATAAAAGACAGGGTGCGCAGACCCTCGTTTTCCCTCGTGAAAAAGAGGGCGCGGAGCGTTTTTCGCAGAATCCTCGACAAATAACGAGGTCAGGAGCCCCGACCGCGACGCGGAAAAGCGCCCCGCGCGCAGGAATTCCGAGGATGTCTCGCGCGTGCCGCGTCCCGCGCGCAGGAATTCCGAGGATGTCTCGATTCATTCTTTTCTTTTGTCAGGATTTCTTAGGGTTTTCTTTTAGATGGTTTACCCCCGGTTTCGACTTGAAGCGGGCCGGCGAAATTATTTTGCGTAAATAACAAGTGCAGAGATACTGTTTCGAAACAGTGCGAGAAAAGAGAAAAAAAAAAAAAAAAAAAAAAAGAAAAAAAAAACGGGGTCCGCATACCTCCGTTTTCCCTCGTAGAAAAGAGGGTGCGGAGCGTTTTTCGCAGAATCTTTGACAAATAACGAGGTCTGGAGCCCCGACCACGACGCGGAAAAACGCCCCGCGCGCAGGAATTCCGAGGATGTCTCGCGCGTGCCGCGTCCCGCGCGCAGGAATTTCGAGGATGTCTCGGCTAATTCGTTTGTTTTGTCCGGATTTCTTAGAATTTTGGCAGGATGTCTCGAGCGAGTTTGTTTTACATAGTTTGTTGAGGATGTCTCGAGGGAACCGCTGGTTTTGCAAAATGTGGGGATGCCTCGAGCGGGGGCCTCGTGGGGGGGCCAGAATCCAGAGGATGTTTCAAGCGAGATGCTTGTTTTCGTGTCCCGCTCGCAGGAATTGTAAGGATGTCTCGCGCGTGCCGCGTCCCGCGCGCATGAATTTCGAGGATGTGTCGACTAATTCGTTTGTTTTGCCCGGATGTCCTAGGATTTTGACCGCATGTCTCAAGCGAAACGTTTTTTTGTTCCCAACCCTCCTGCGTTGGGTACTCGTTTTGAATAGAGCACTGCGGTCTCCACCTTCCTTCCTTCCTTCCTTCCTTCCTTCCTTCCTTCCCGCCTCCCTTCCCGCCTCCTCCCGCCTCCTCTTCTCTTCTCTGGGGGGCTGCGATCTGTGGAACTGTCGCCACGTTCGAGGGCTGCTGGGGGGCCCAGCGGAGTGACGCCCCACGGGGATTCAGATTAGACCTCGCCATCCCTGGGAGGCTGCGATCTGTGAAACTGTCGCCGCTTTCGAGGCTGCTGGGGGGCCCAGCGGAGTGACGCCCCACGGGGATTCAGATTAGACCTCGCCATCCCTGGGGGGCTGCGATCTGTGAAACTGTCGCCACTTTCGAGGCTGCTGGGGGGCCCAGCGGAGTGACGCCCTACGGGGGTTCAGATTAGACCTCGCCATCCCTGGGGGGCTGCGATCTGTGAAACTGTCGCCACTTTCGAGGGCTGCTGGGGGGCCCAGCGGAGTGACGCCCTACGGGGATTCAGATTAGACCTCGCCATCCCTGGGGAGCTGCGATCTGTGAAACTGTCGCCACTTTCGAGGCTGCTGGGGGGCCCAGCGGAGTGACGCCCTACGGGGATTCAGATTAGACCTCGCCATCCCTGGGGGGCTGCGATCTGTGAAACTGTCGCCACTTTCGAGGCCTGCTGGGGGGTCCTGCACAGGGAGTGACGCGGCGGATTCAAATTAGACCTCGCCATCCCTGGGGGGCTGCGATCTGTGAAACTGTCGCCACTTTCGAGGGCTGCTGGGGGGCCCAGCGGAGTGACGCCCTACGGGGATTCAGATTCGGGACCTCGTCCATCCCTGGGGGGGCTGGATCGGTGACCTGTTCGCCACTTTCGAAGGCTTGCGTGGATTACTTGGATGAGGACTGCCTAACGGGGATACAAATTAGACCTGCCCTTCCCTGGGGGGATGTGATCGGTTGAAACGTCGCCACTTCGAAGGCTGCTTGGGGGGGCCAGCGGAGTGAACGTCCGACGGGGACTCAGATTAGACCTCGCCATCGCGGGGGGGCTCGATCTGTGAAACTGTCGCCACTTTCGAGGGCTGCTGGGGGCCAGCACAGTGGCGTACCAACGGCGGATTCAAATGGGACCTCGCCATCCCTGGGGGGCTGCGATCTGTGAAACTGTCGCCACTTTCGAGGGCTGCTGGGTGGCCCAACAAAGTGGGTACTCACGGCGGATTCAAATTAGACCTCGCCATCCCTGGGGGGTTGCGATCTGTAAAACTGTCGCCACTTTCGAGGGCTGCTGGGGGGCCCAGCACAGTGGGTACCCACGGCGGATTCAAATGTGACCTCGCCATTCCTGGGGGGCTGCGATCTGTGAAACTGTCGCCACTTTCGAGGGCTGCTGGGGGGGGCCAGCACAGTGGGCACTCACGGCGGATTCAAATTAGACATCGCCATCCCTGGGGGGCTGCGATCTGTGAAACTGCCGCCACTTTCGAGGGCTGCTGAGGGGCCCAGCACAGTGGGCTTCCCGCACGTCTTGCTCCTGCTCTTCGTTCCCGACTCCCCATGCCCTCTTCGAGCCTGTAGCTGTTGCCCTTCTTTCTTGTATGGTTCTCCTGCGCATCATGCCATAGGCGCGTGCCCCAAGTAGCTTACATATCAAACGACGGATCCTACAATTTGATTGTCCATGCAAGTTTCGGCCAACTCCTCGTTTCCAATGATACAAATGGGTTGGGTACGTCACAGGGTAATTTTTACCTCTCGTAATTTGTTGAGGATGTCTCGAGCGAAACGCTGGTTTTGCAAACTTGGGGGATGTCTCGAGCGGGGGCCTCGTGGGGGGGCAGAATTCAGAGGATGTAGGGAAACGCTGGTTTTGCATAATTTGGGGATGCCTCGAGCGGGGGCCTCGTGGGGGGCCAGAATTCAGAGGATGCCTCAGGCGAAATGCTTGTTTTCGTGTCCCGCTCGCAGGAATTCCAAGGATGTCTCGCGCGTGCCGCGTCCCGCGCGCAGGAATCTTGAGGATGTCGCGACTAATTCGTTTGTTTTGCCAGGATGTCCTTGGATTGTGGCCGGATGTCTCGAGCGAAACGCTTGCTTTTCATACTTTGTTGAGGATGTCTCGAGCGAAACGCTGGTTTTGCAAACTTGGGGGATGTCTCGAGCGGGGGCCTCGTGGGGGGCCAGAATTCAGAGGATGTCTCAGGCGAAATGTTTGTTTTCACGTCCCGCTCGCAGGAATTCCGGGGATGTCTCGCGCGTGCCACGTCCCGCGCGCAGGAATTTTGAGGATGTCCCGTAGCGCGTCCCCTTGGCACGTCCTACGGTGCGACCCCATGGCACGTCCCTTGGCACGTCGCCTGGCGCGTCCCTGGGACGTTTCGCGGCGCGTCCTCCTGGCATG